TATGTGGCAGAATATCTACTATGAACACACACAGCTTATCTTCCAGAGCTCTAAAAAGAGGTGTTAAAGGCACAGATGTTCTTCTGTTCTAGGGCCATTGAGATTCAACATACTGTAAAACGTTTGAATCTAACTGCTTGAATAATCAATGTGCATAGGCATCAGATGATTTGGAAAGGTTTACGCAGATACACTGTGCAAATTTGTTATTTATTCCTAGGTGCTATTTTTTGGTAAGGGGAGGGGGGAATAAGCCTCCACTGTAAAAGGCTTAATAAATTTGAATTCTTAGGCCAGATGAAAAATTAGTGTTTCAGTCAATGGATTTGAAGACGTCTAAACCTGACACCATGAATGAGCGCCTAGTCACGTGAATGGTAAAACAAGAATGGTACGCAAGTCTGATGTAGTTACATTTTTCTTTTGAATTGCTTTGCTTTTTCATCCCTGACATGTTCTGCTAGTTTCATACGGTCAAACTGCTGTACCTTCTCATATTTAAGGTTCATCTCCTTTCAAAACACTGTATATGAAACTGGTCAAGTTGTGACAAAGGTCACACACACAATAAATCTTCATGCTTTTGAAAATTCTGGTCATTCTTCTGGAGTTCTTGCAACTTCCCAGCTGAAGAACTTTGCAAACTAGAAAAACTTCAGAAAAGTGTTTTCCTAGTTTGTGACATAAAGGCGGTTCAGTTAAGCAAGTGGCTACATACTGTATGAACTGACTTTTAAACTGCATATATTGTAGCAAGCTTGTATGGGATGGCTTTAGTCATGTTTTTCTCTGTCTAAATGTAATGTAAGGTCCAAATACAGACCGAAAAGCTAAAAGCTTCCTGGCTCATGTTGAAGTGATGTGCTTTGTTTAAGATAAAAAAGACAAACATTTGTGGGTTTGGGGTGCCTTTGTGCTCCCTGGTTTAGGGTGTTGCTCACAAAGGCTTATTTTTTATAAAGTAGAATTCCACTTGTTACAAACCAATATGCAAAATGCTGGCCTTGTAAAGAGTGCAATATTATATATTTTTATGTAAAAGTAAAAATGATTTTTTGAAGCAAGGAATATTTATTCAGCTTAACATTCTGGAACTATTAAAATAACATTACAATAGTGTCTTTGCATGATGTACTGAAATTTCCTGTAAATGTCACATTCCACATTGTCTTTGTATATAAGCTGTCACGTTGTCGGGTAATAAACAGATCTTTGTATCAAATAATTTTGAGATGATTAGAAACATGTTTCTGGCTTAGTTGCACCTTTCTCTTTTAGGGATCTTTCACACCTTGCTCCAGATCAATTTCTGTGGTTCTCAGAAATTCTTTCATATTTTAAAATTCATGAGGTGGAGAAGTTCTATTTATGGACTATGTCATGTGCTTGTTGAACTGAAGGTGGTGAGTGTAAGATGGGAAGTGGGAAACTAGGCATATCACTTTGCACACTCGTGCATTTGTCCTTTCTTCCCATAGGATGCATGACTAGAATTTGGATGAAGTGATTTCTCTCAAAGCAGAGACATTCCCCTTCCTTCCTGCTGCCTCCTCCCTGAAAACGTGTCTGAACTGAAAAGGCAGAAAAGGAATTCCTCTCTGGCTTCTCTGAGAGATGGGGGGAAAGCGGGAGCGTGGGATCTCTGGGAGGCATCTGACAGGATGCAAGGCTCTCTCTGTTGGAAACCAGGGTCTGGGGAGAGGTTCATGTGGCAAGGCCTGTCTACCTGACACCACTTGCAGGATTCTGTGGTAACCCCAGACTTTTATGTTCTGACTGTGAAGAGACCTGGTGAGAAGGGAAGGGGGAGGCAATAGTCAGATTTTTACTGGTGGTGGAGAGAGGGAGTCTCTAAACCATTACTGAAGAAGGAACCCTGATCTTGCATTTAGAGATGTTTAGGCAAACCCATGGCAACGAACAGGAGAAACAAAAAAAATCAGTAGAGAACTGATATCTGTGAACTGAATTAAATGAGACAATTTTCTGTGGGAGAAACAGTTTCTGTGAGGAATTAAAAATACCGTTCAACTTTTACTCTGAAACATTAACTCTAAAGATGATTTTTGCATTTAAACTACACTGATCTTTGGAGAAAGAGTTGAAAGAGTTTCTTACACTGGGCAAGAGTGCTCTCCCTCCCTACTTCCAGGATTTCTTGACTACACTTGCAGGATTTACTATGCATTTTGCAGAGATAATTCCCCCACTGTTCTCTGAAGTTATCACCTGGCTTGCTACTATCAGACTTCCAGTTTCTTCATGCTTTCTTTTGTTTAAAGCTGTATTGGGTTACTTTTTTTTTCCCCTTTCAATATGGAAATGGAAGTCACACTATGCTGCTACTCTATCACAGAAACAAACAACAAAGCCAAAAAAAAAACCCAACAACAACAAAAAAACCCCACCAAACAAAAAATCCAAAAATCAAATACTATTTAAAATCTCAGCTTGCCTTGGAAATACCCACTGAAATATTAGGTAAGCCTCCATATGTACAGACAGTGCTATTTCCTTTGCTACTGTAGTAAGTTACAAACTACTGACAAATGACCTCTGTGTAGAGATTTATTTGCCATTACTCCTCTGGAATGGGGTCAGAACGCCACTGATTTTGCATCTGGATCTCTGTAATAGGCTGTGTTGTGCATTTCACAATTTTGAACAAGGATTAAAAATTAAATGTGACTGCTCCAATTAGACTTCTACGCTATTCTAGACTACACAGAAGAAAGGAGTTGAGTAGAAACAGGAGCTTGCTCACTGTTTCCAGCTTTGAGCTAGCATTCCCAGAAAAAAAAAAAAAAATCCTGATTCTCTAATCCAAATTACTGAAGCCCCTATAAGCATCAGTAGGGGCTAGTTCCTGTAAACTCAAGGAATAGAAGTTCACATTATTTGTGTGGATATTGCCTTCAGAACCTATGGGCCAACTCTAGTGGGAGACTCCTGGTTGTGGTGGAAGGTAAGAGTTTGCAGATTAAAAAGAAAGCATATCTATGTAATACATGATAAAAATACATTTTAAAACAGCCATTCCCTACCCTTATATTTTAGCTTTAATAATAAAATTGCTAGAATCCAGAGGTAAAAATTCTGTGTAAATGAGTGACAACTGTCTGATTGCTAGAACCACTGAGCCTGAGCTCTTTATCTAACAGCTCACAAATTCTTTGTCTGGTAAATGGAGTCTTTTCTAGAACCACGATGTGGTTAAATATGAATGAAACAGCAGCATATGGGCCAGTGAGGTTTCCAATCAGTTTGTGGAACTTAAGTTAGGGGAAGCTTCTGAACTTACCTATTTAGTAATGTTTACATTCTTCCTCCTGCATTTCCTTCTACCAGGCCACCACCCCAAGAGCCATTGACTCAGTCTCAAAAGAAGCTGCCCTTGCTCCAAGTCACCTTTGAAAATGGGGCTCTTCCCTGTTCTCTTTCATATAGAAAATAAACATGATTTGGAAATGCTTCTGCTCTATTACGACGGGATGAGAAAAAGTGCTGATGGCAGGGTAGGAGAAAAGGGTGACCAACGTATACCCCTCCAGAAGGAACAGCACCTTAATGGGGAACAAAATAAATGAGACTGTGGTGATGGTGCTCTTGCCAACATGTTAATTATTGGAGATGACAAGTTTTTTAGTTAGAAATGTTGATTGGCACTTTTAACTGCTGCTGACCTGTATGGGTTTTATATGGAGAAGTATATAAAAATTGATCTATGAAGCTGAATTTTTCTGATGTACTAACCCTGACAAGGTGAGTCTAAGTGCTGCTTTCCCACAGCAGTTCCTTTCCTCAGGGCAGCTTTTTACTTCATCCTTCTTTGTTCAGCAGGACAGGCACTGTGGGCTCTCACCCCAAACCCCTGGACCATGCAAGCTTTCCAGTTTGAGGTACAGTGCTGCAGGCTGGGGGTGGAGTGACTGGAAAGCAACCCAGTGGGAAAAGACCCTGGGGGTGATGGTCAACAGGCGGCTGAACATGAGCCAGTGTGTGCCTGGGTGGCCAACAAGGCTAGTGACATCCTTGCCTGTATCAGCAATAGTGTGGTCAGCAGGACCAGTGAAATGATTGTCCTTCTGTACTCAGCACTGGTGAGGCCACACCTCCAGTACTGTGTCCAGTTCTGGGCCTCTCAATTCAGGAAAGACATTGAGGCACTGGAGTGAGTCCAGAGAGGGGCAACAGAGCTGGTGAAGGGTCTGGAGCACAAGTCTGATGAGGAGCAGCTGAGGGAACTGGAGAAGCAGAGACTCAGGGCAGACTTTATTACTTTCTACAACTAAAGGAGGTTGTAGCCAGGTTGAGGTTGGCCTCTTCTCCCATGCAGCTAGTGACAGGATAAGAGGATGTAGTCTCAAACTGACCAAGGGAGGTTCAGGTTGGACATTAGGAGGAATTTCTTTACATAAAGGGTAATTAAACATTGGAATTAATTGCCCTGGGAGATGGTTGCATCACTGTCCCTGGAAGTGTTTAATGAAAAGACTGAACAAGTCATGGTCTAGTTGACATGGTGGTGTTTGGTCATAGGCTGGACTCGACGATCTCAGAGGTCTTTTCTAACCTAACTGAGCCTATGATCCTGTTCGAGAAACACCTGGACGACCGTTTGATCCCTAAATCCGTCTGTGGGCGGGACAGGAGGTGGCTGCAGCAGGAGAGAAGGAGGGCGGAGCGGGAGGGCGGTGGCGGCCGGGGCCGCCCCGCCCCGCGGTCCATGTGGCTGTGGCTGTGCTGGTGCCGCTGCCGGGCCCGCCCCGGGCTGCTCGGAGCTCCCCGTGCTCCGCCCGCCGCCCCGCACGGTGAGGGGGAGCCGCGGGCGCCGGGCGGGAGAAGGTGCCGGGTGGGGCGGGGCGGGATCAGGGATTGGGGCCGGGGCGGGGGCTCCCCGGGCAGGGCGGGCCGGGGCTGCTGAGCGGTGCTTTCTCCCTCGCTGCCATCGGCGCTGGTGCCTTGGGAAACCCGCGGCTGCTCCGCCCGGCATCCCGGTGGTTCCGTGGGCTGCGGGTAAACAGCGCCCGGCGGCGGCCGCGCCGGTCGGAGTTTCCCGGGTACGCGCCACAGTCGGCGCCGGGCTTTGGGCTCTGCTGTCGCTGCATCGGCGGGGGACGTCCTTCCCTGGAAAAGCTGCCCCAAGTCCAGGTACCCCGCGGGCGGCGGGGTGGGTCTCTGTTCTGCGTGCTCCTTCCTCGCCATCTGCCTGGTGCGAAGGCGCAAGGAAGCGGCCGCTTTTCCTGCTGACTGGCTGGCGCTGCCGGAGGAATAACACTTACTGCCCGTCCGTCGGCTGCTGGCGATAATTACTGATGTGCTGTGCTGGGAGCTGCTGCACAGCAGAGCCATTAGGGCAGCTCAGAGAGACAGAAAACTCGGAATAACAACTTGAAAAACACTGCAGGGGATGCAGTGCCTGGCTTCCGGGAGGCGCTCTCCCTACCTTGCATATTACAATTCAGTTTAATACATTTTAAGCGGGGTTTAAGTGGAGTAGTTAAATTTCCTCGTATATTTCTTTAGAAGCTCACAAGTGTCTCTAAAAGTTAGCCAGAGAGGTAAAACAGGAGACAGGAATCATCTTCCTGCCTCAGACTTTCTGGATCTCTGATGGTTCGTAGGGCTGTAGGTGCAAATAACCTGTATGCTGATGATAAATAATATTGTATGAAAAGATTGTCCTTGTGAAAAGTCACATTAGTTCAACCATTGTTTCCTTTGATTTTTTAAATGCCGAGAAGCAAGATGATATTTTTGAACAAAAATTTGGGCATAGCGGCAAGAATTTTTGGAACTTGACAGGTGGACTGGATATAGTATTGGATATGTTAGATGAGAACTGAGCTGTTGGCGTTTGGCTGGTTTGCACTGACATGATTAACAGTTATTTTCAAAGTCACCACGTTTATGGTATGAAAATTACATTCTTATTGTGAACAATAGTCTTGCCTTTAATCTACTCATTTCTGCTCGTACTAAGCCTTAGTAGACGGAGTGAAAACCTGTAGTAATTTTCTAGTATTTCTTTGTGAAGCCATGAGACAGAGAAAGTAAAAGGATTCCTTGCCTGCCCTCTCTGTTTGCAGAGCTACACCAGTTGTGGGGAATCCTGGAGTAAGAACTGAGATGGCAGAGGAAGTTATTCCTCTCCTCTTTGTGACCTGCAGATAAAGGGGAAAATTACCCATGTTGTGTGGACAGTGATGCTAGCACAGATAACTAGTACTCTTAGTGCAGGGTAGTTGTTAAGTTTCTCTTGCCTAAACAGCAACTGAAAGACTCTTTTTTTTTCTTTTCCTTTTTTTTTTTTTAAATTTCTTTGATATGCCAGTTTTTTATCAAACAGCTGTGAGCATGTAAATTTTGCTGTTTATGTTCTTGCAAGGATAATCAAACGTGAGGATCTTTCCACAATTTAGAATGTGATTTGCAGGTCATTTTCCAGTGATGATTCCCGCTAATGTCACTGGGACTTTGTTGCATGATTGGGTTGACTTTTCTATTGTGCTGTGTGTCCAAGAAGTGCAGAACTTGTGTGGAAGATGTTCTTCACAGTTGTCAACTCCAGATTTTCTAATCTAGTAATTTCAGGTTTGTCACTTTAGATTGGTGAAAGAAATTTGGTTTAGGGCTTTTTAGATTGAATTCTACAGGTTGCTCTTCTGGTTTTGCATTTTAAGGTTGTACTTGGAACTAGAGGAGAAGAAATTGCCGTGCAGCTTTTCATTCCTGTCGCTTGTTGAAATCCATACCAAAAAGCTTGAAAATTATATTTTGCTTCTGTGTTACTCAAATTTTCAGACTTTTCCTGCATTTTACTAACATTTATAATGTTTAGTAAATGTTAGTTGCACTCCTTACCCTGGTGCAGGATCAAACTATACCTGCAAATATTTGTGCAACTTCCTGGGTTATCATAAGATAAGTTTGCCTTTGAAGTGCTGTTGGGTACAATCTAATCAATTGTAAAAACAAGTAAAGGAAAGTTGATCTTCACAAAGCATTTTGAGGAGCCCTGGAGATGGTGAACTTCAGCACACATGCGTTACCTGCAACCAGAGAAAGGATGAAGTTCAAGTGAGCTAAAAAGCCACAACACCCCGGGAGATTCATCTGGCGGGAAGGCTGTCATTACAAAGCTTTCAGGAGTGATGCTTTAGGAAACAGCTGTCTAGTATGATGTGCCAGTCAGCAGAAACTACTTGGCTGAAAAAGGCTGTGTAGCTGCTGTCACTATTCTTTGGTAGTGTGATCAGTGTTCCCCTTATAGAAAAGAATCAATAGAGACTAGGTTAATAAACTCGGTGTGCTGCACAAAAATATACTGCATAAGTGAGCTCCTGTATAATCTAGGTCCACTGGTGTGCATCAGTGACACGTAGACTGCATGTAGTCTGATCATTACCATGTTACTGTAACTACGGTGATTTTCAGGACCTCTGTATGTCTGTATCGAGCTGACTTAATGGGGGGCTGCTGGAAAAACAGGCAGGAATGAACAGTAGCAAACCCAGCTGTGTAATTTCTGATTCAGGGGAGTTTAGATTATTTAAAAGATAGGGAGAAGTTACTCCTTTTGAGTATCAAAACCAGTGTGGCCAGCAGGGCAAGGGATGTGATTCTACCCCTCTACTCCACTCTGCTGATAGCCCAGCTGCAGTGCTGCGTCCAGCTCTGGGGTCCCCAGCACAGGAAGGACATCAACCCATCAGAGCGAGTGCAGAGGAGGGCCACACAGATATAAAGGGACTGGAGCACATCTCCTATGAGGAATGTCTGAAAGAATTGGAATTGTTCGGCCCGGAGAAGCAAACTCTCCAGGGAGACCTTATTGCAGTAATTGAAAGGGGCTTGTAAGAAAGAGGGGATGGACTTTTTAACAGGGCCTGTTTGCCATAGGACAAAGGGTTTTAAACTAAAAGAGGGTTGATATAGACTAGATGTATGGACAAAACATTTTATCACGTGTGTGGTGAAGCACTGTTAACAGGTTGCCCAGAGAGGTGGTGGATGCCCCATCCCTGGAAACATTCAAGGTCTGGTTGGATGCCCTGAGCAACTTGCTGTAGTAGAAGACGCTACTGCTTATTGTAGGGACCTTGGACTAGATGACCTTTAAAGGTGCCTTCCAACACAAACCATTCTGTGATCCTGCAGACTGTCCCTCAGGTACAATATAAAGCTACATGTGCCTTCCTGTGGGACTAAAGGCCTTGAGAATACTTGAACTGTTTCTGAGGAGACATCTTAAGAGAAAGAATCAGCCATTTGTCAGGCTGCAGCCTCAGAGGAAGCACTTCAGAGGAAACAGGTCCTTCAAGAGGGTGTTTGAAGGAGGAGGCTTCCTCACATTCCAGGGGATGGGTGTGTAATAGATTCTCTTGTTATTAAAATTTCTTTTCTCTCCAGAGCTTTATTTCTAAGTAAGAATTTTATTTCGTTAAAGAATATTAAGCTTAAGGTTATTAAAGAATGTCATAGGTCCTAAGGAGAACAGAATCGGGTGTCATCCAAAGCTTTGTCTGCAAAAGTGACCTTTAGCACAGCCTGATTTGTTATTAAAATTTGCTTCTCTCTAGAGCTTTATTTCTAAGTAAAAATTTTATATCATTAAAGAATGTTAAGCTTTCGGTTATTAGAGAATATCACAGGTCCTAAGGAGAGCAGAACCAGGTGTCATCCAAAGTTTTGTCTGCAAAAAGGACACATCATATGTAACTGATGCACAGATATGTACTGTATTTGCAAAGAGTGAGAGAAGGCAGAGGTTTATGCAGCTTGGTAGGTGAAATGTGAAACAGGAGAAATCAGTCTTACAAAGTTCTGGAACCAGAGCAGTCTGTATGAAAAGTAGAGATTAGATACTTAAATGGATGCTAAGCTCTTCCAGAAATGTGGTAGTTAAGTATTTAAGTGCATGATTTGAGTGAATGAACTATCAGAAAAGCTTGGGAGATCTGGAATTCTCTTGACTGTTCAGGCAGTATCAGTTGCTTAATTTGGTTTACTTTAAATCTCTTATTCAATATTAAATTTCCAATTTGCCTCTGGATTTGGGCTGTGGCAAATGTAGAAAGGGCCCTGTGAGTTGATTTAGCTTTGCCTTTTGTGGCTTTATTATCATTAGAGTTTAGCTGCGGAGATGATAACAAAATTTAAATGATTCATACTTGTGGGGGTATCATTTTGTAAACAAAGCTAAATGTGTTTATTCTCATTTTAATGGATATATTGATGCTTAAAAGCTAGGGAGTTGTCAAACAATAAGTCCACAGATGAGCTGTAATTCAGAGCCTCCTCCTCTTGTGAATGTCTCCTATCCTTTCTGCTGTTTGACTTCCCACTGCAAGTCAAAACACATCTGAAAATTGATTGGAGGCTGTTGGTTGGTTGTGGGTTTTTGTACCGTACATGGCATTTTATACAAAGCCAGTTGCTCCACATGTATTCAATCCTGTGCCTTGTGAGGAATATGAGTTACAAGATTGTAAACAAAGACAAAAAAATAAGAAGCTGCTGTGTTCTGACACGATTTTATTTCATCAGAGCATGCATGCAAGGGGGAAACTTGAGTTCCATTCAAATGACACACTAAAAACCCCAAAAACCTGTTCTTTGTCTTGGGATGTGTCAAAGCTCTTGTTTTATTTGGCACAATTAATGTATTTTAAGATATCATTTTCCCCACCTAGACTTACACTAGACTTGAAAGGATAAGATCCTTTTGTTTCTTTGAATTAGTGTTGAGCATGGCTGACCAATGCATTTGTATTCCACCAATCCTGTTTTACAGCACAGGTTACTGATTTTTAGAAAGCAGAAGATACAACTGTCTTTTGCCCTGTCTTTGAGCATGCATTTTGTGAAATCAAAGCAGTTAAAAAGTTATTCCTTCATTCTGTCCTCTAGATTATGTACGTCTATTGAGTCTTAACAGGGTTAAGACATTGTATGTACAATTTTTTTTACAAGAGCATTTCCTGTGTCCTGCTTAATTTCCTGTTTGTATCTTATCCCCCAGTGACTGGATCAAGTAAGCTATCAAGGTTCAAGAAGGGAAATTTGTATGGTTCTAAGGTGTTTGCTTCTTATCCAGAAATAAGCTGGAAGCATTCATTTTGAAAGACCTGAACCTAAAACTCTTTTGGCAGCGTACAAAATGCATCCTTTTATGTGTTTTTCTCCCATGTCCCATCTGCCTCTCACACCCCTTGTCTTCTGCATTGCCGAACTTTGTATTGATTTCTGATGCCTGGTGCTCCACTAATCTTGCTTCAAATGGCACTTGTGGTAAAGACCGTAGGGGAGTGTTTTGGCTGTTTGAAAGCTCAGCACCTCATCTTCCTGGATAGTGTAACTAGCCTAGGACCTGTCTAGGTCGTCTGTAATCCTATCGTCTTTCCATGTGGCTTTAGTCCAACTTCCAATGGCTTCTGAATAGGAACTGTTACTTCTGCTGGACCAGCACTGCATAATGGTGTCAGCACAAGGTGGTCTAACATACAGGCCACCTCTGGCATATATATTGTAAGTTATTCAAGGTCTGAATGTGGTCATCTTGACTAATCTGATAACAGTGCTGAGGAACTGTGTGGTAACAGTTGATTTAATCCCTCAGGGAGAAGCAATGCAAGAAAACCAAACACTGTCATACCTTAATTAGATGTCCCTTCCCAAGAGCTGCAGATCTCTTAAAAAAGAATGCTTTCCTATCCTGCATAGTGTACTGTACCAGGTTTTAATCATGTTTAAATTTTGCTAGGCATGTCTCAGCAAAAAGTTGGAAAGCACTGCATTATTTTTCTTAATCTGTTACCTCATTTCTAAACCCCTTATATTGATAGTCAGAATTTTGACTCGTTCTGTATCTTAACATTTCTCTTTGATTCTCAGTGAGAGTGGTGAGACATTCATTTTCACTGTGCACATTTCTGAACTTTTTTTGATGTTACAAGGTGTAACTGGGGCATGGAGCCAAACTGTGCAATGGCTGCAAGGTCTGTTTGTGAACAGCCGTTCCGAGTTGGCAGTCTGAACCAGGGCACCCATTTCTACACTGAAGTAATGGTCCTGTGCTCTGTGTTTGTATGCATGCTGTTTGCAGGATTCAGGTTGAGTACTGATGATGGGAAATGCAAATATATAATGCAATAAGGTGCTATTGAACAAGAGGACAGAAATAAATGGTGTCTGGTCTCTATTTGCGACCTACAGCCTGACAGCGTTGATATGGTGGGTGAGGGTTGGTTAGGGTTCAGATAACTGTCTTCAAAGTGATTGCTGTATTTGCTATCTGTACTTTTAAATGTTCTCAACTTTGTCTCTTCTAGGAAAAACAAAATGAAGGAACTAGTGTCAAACAGTACAACCAGTATATCGCAAGCCAGGAAAGCTGTGGAGCAATTAAAAATGGAAGCATATATGGATAGAATGAAGGTAAACTTAGACTTATTGTTGATATTTTGAATTCACTGACTAGCTTGTGTCTCTTTAATAATGTAGAAAGACTCAACCAGCTGAAATAAAAAATCCTTGTTGAACTATAAACCAATATTAGGTACTGTAAATGAGTCACTAACTCCTACTAACTACTGTAAATAACTAACTACTAACTACTCCTACTAACTACTGTAACAGAGACACTAACTGGTGCGTTCTAGTGAAGGGATTTCCAAAGCCTGGCTTATAGTTTGCTTCTGTGTGTCTTTTACATCTGTCAAAAGTGATATTTTGTGAAATACTTAAAATAAGCTGGCAGATGCAGGGGTGCTCCTCTTTGTCTGTCACCTGTAGCTTAATTTAAGTGCAGCTCAGGTTTCTCAGTTTTTTCCCTTAAGACCTGGAATAAGTCTTTAAGATATTGCAGTACTTTTGAACAATGATGGGACAAGAGAACTGCTTTGATTTGTTTTGTTTTAGCACAGACATCATTGCACAAAAAACTTGTATGATTGCAGTGTGCAGTTATGACTTTTCACACTTGATAACTTGTTGTATGTGAAGATTTCATTTTATCACACCTCTAAATATATGTAGATTAAATATTTTTACTAAAGACACTATTAAACAGAGGTTCTTAGCATTTTTAACCAACAAAGTCTGTGGATTATTCTTGCCTGTCATTGTGCCTTCCACTAGGCTAAAATTTCGTGAATAAATCGAGCACCTAAAACCTAATAGTGTCACAGAAAGTTTTAAGAAAACAATGCTCATTTCTGTTGCTCTTTTACTCTGAAAGTAGAGAATAATTATTTGCATTAAAAAATCCAGTCTCTACAATTAAGAACAGTTTCTAGTCTGTCCATCTCTGAAAAGGAATACATTTAAATTATCCATTTTTCTGAAAACAACTGTACCTGAGTTGTTGCAAACTTTAACTGTTTGTAACTGAGATTACTAACTCGGTAAGACAGTTTAGAAATGTTGTACATTAAAATTATCACATAGTCTTAACTCAGTCTGTTTGTCCATCCTTCCCTATGTGCTGAAATTCTGCATGTAGTGAGCATGGGGACAATAGCATATAATTATGATTTTTAAAATTGTATCAGATCACAAACTCACTAATTGGAAACATAGTGTTTCTAATTCAGAAATATCAGCGCAGTGCACATGAGTGGTCAGTCTTGCTTATATGTAAATAGAAATTTCAGTCTCTCCTTTCGTGGCCATTTTTAGCAATGTCTTACAAGATCACTGAATTTGCAAAAGTGCCGTTTCTGTCTCGTATAGTATCTTACAAATTCCACATAACCTGTTCGCAGGGACAGGTGTTTCTATTTCCTGCAGTAAGGGAAGTTCTATCTTTTCAGTGTTCAATGCAATTAAACTGTCCCCTGACTCAGGTCATATTGCAGCTGCATGAACAGAAGTGACCAGAAGGAACGGGTGTGCAGGAGTGGCAGAGGAAAGGGTTGGAAAAATATGGCCCAGTTTATTGGAATTTGAAATCGTTGATACTTAGTAGATTGTCTTAAACTTGCTTCTGTATATTCAGTGGTAACTGTCACAAACCACGTCATTAGCTCAGTTATGCAGATAGGTTCATTAGTTAGATGTATAACATTCTTAATTACATATGCAAGAAAGACATAGGTTATTTTTACAGTCAGTTTAATTAAAAAGAACACAGTTATTAGCAAGTGTGGCAGACCTAAAAAACAAGATAGCTTGAAAGTGCAATTACTTCACCTTTCAAGACAGCTTGGGACCGAAAACCCATCACAGAAAATCCATCGTTTCAGAATTCTGAGGGTTTCTATACTAACATAAACTGAATATAACCTTTCAAAATGTCTTGATTTCTAGAATTTCTTTGAACAAGGATATAAGGGATTGTGAGAAGAGGTGGATAGGATTTTTATTCCTTCAAGGTCTTTGCTTTGCTTTTTAATCTTGAATCAGCTAAGTGTGTGTTTCAGCATAGCCAGATTTTACCAAGAGACTTCCCAGCGATTTCAACAGGAGATCTTGAGTTCTCAGACCATCACTGTAAAGGGCAGAAAAATTAACTTTTTTCTGGCATTTTGCATCTGATTAAACTAGTTAGACATTTAACAAAAGATCACTGCTTTCCAAATAATTTAATTAAATACTGTTTTGGAAATAGATATAGCCAAAGGGTTATTCCCATAATAGGCAGGACCACATTGTGAACACTAAAAAGGTGCCTGCATTATTGGCTAAGGAAATCAGAAGTTCTAGCTCATTTTTCTACTACAGAGGCACTTTGTTTTCCATGGACAGTAGCTGCTGTAAGCAGCAAGTGTTGGGTCTGTTCAATTAAAGTCTTGTAGCTAAAAGTGTAATGATAATGCCCATTCCCTGCTGTGTTCCGGATTTTTCAGTTGATTTAAAAATCTAGTCCTTTAACCAGTCAGAGCAGCAAGCAGTGCTGTGTCTGAGGTTCCATAAAGACAACTCGCTGTTAAGGTGTGAAAGAAACAGGACAACTTAAAGCAGAGGATGAAGTTATTGTTGTATTGATTGGTAGCTGGAAGGAGTATTACTGTGGTTCTTTTTGTAAACTGTAGGAATCCCAGAAGGATTGTAAATTGAACCCGCCTTACTTGCCTGCTGAAAGAACAGCTTGAGTTTTAATGGAGAAGTAAGTAGAAAGCAGGAAATGCAGATTCCAAGCTAGGAAACATCAAGTGAAATCAGATGAACAGTGGCCTCATGACTAGTAGAAGAATATGTCTTCTAAAGATGCTAGCAGTAAAATTGAGAAACCAAAGATGATATTGGTGTTCATCAGAGTTGTCCTCAGAATAAAGCACTATTTAATCTTCTATTTAATCTTCTCTTTGCTAGCAGAAAAGCAAGAAAGAGTGCTCTGACATTTTAGAATCTTGGTATATCAATTACTATTCCATTTTCTTTTTCCTTAGGAAGACAGGAAGTATTCTTAACTGGTCCTGAATAGTGTTGGGAGATAAACGGTGGAATTGCCAAATAAATGTGTGTGAATCTCTTTGTTTTAAATGTAAAGGATAAGCAGAGTGGGTGTCATAGCAAGGATGGTAATTAGTCACAATCCATGACAAGACAGATGACATAGTAATTGCAGCATTTTGCCCTGTCATTGAAGCTTATAATTATTAGTCCAGCTAACAGGATTATATTCTAACTTTGGCTGTTCTTATCACCTCTGTTATTCTGAAATATAATGGTCAAATTTCACAGTCCTCCTGAGACTAATTCTTTAAGGCATCAGGGTTGAATGTTTTGTTGAATCTTTTTGTTTCCTCTTGGTAATTTGACAAGAAGATGTATTTTTCACTAGAGAGGGTAAAAGTAATCATATAAAACGTGAGATCAGTGTGATACCTATATACTCAATCCTTTCTATCCATACACTTTAAAAGAATTCATCAATTAAACTGGAGTCTGTTTTTTTTTTTTCCTCTAGCCACTTCTGCAATATGTGTAAATTACTTTGAATCTGCAGACCAAGCTGTATTGCGTAGGAGAGCTGACAAGATAAATGTGTTAGTTTCATTTGAATATTCAAGTTACATACATTTATTTTAATTCTTAATAAAAGCTATTCTGAAACTGTTCAGCAGCACTCAGCTGCAAATAACCCTAAAGATGAGTAAAACCTCTGACAGAGTGGCCTCCATTTAACTCCTTCCATGACACAAATAGGCTGATCAGCGCATTATTTTGCACAGTGGCAGGGTGTAGCCCTGGCCGTGAGGCACCTCTGCCTGCTGACATGTGCTAAAGCGGTGTCTCTGCTGGAGCCTTCATGCCACGCTCAATGCAGGGGCCTTCCGCTACTGTTGTTCTGAATAATGACACTGAGCAGGAAACTTGCTGGAGGCAACGTTGTATTTTGCTCTTTTTTTGGCCACAGTTCTGACTTTGCCAACACTGCTCACAGCCGCAGGAACCCGTGTTTTCGTTGCTCCTGGATTGTGATCAGCTAATTTAACTCCCTGTAGTGAGTGGTCATTATTCCGCTGTGCAAGCCTAAGTGACTCCACTTTTAGTGAAGAAATGGCCATAATTCACTTTTATAACTGCTGTAATTCCAGTGGGAGGATATCTCCTCCCCAAACTTTCTGTTTGCTTAAAGGATGAAAATATATGGCCTAGTACAGGTTTAGTTTGTGACAGTGTGCTGAAATGTGATCGTGTTCCTGGTGTTCCTCGGTTCCTTGTTGCAGGTTTGTTTTTTTTACTAAACTGTACCATGGCTTGTTTAAAACCAAACTAAATTGGGATTTAGTTTCATCACTGACATTGATGAAAGTATTGCTCTGCTTCATGGCATTGCTACCAGCATTAGAGGACAAGTTAGATACAGAAATACATGGTGAGCTTTTGCTAGTGAAAATCCTTTCTACTGTTACATGATATCAAAGCACAGTAAAATGTAGAGAAACAGGAAATTATATTACTGGACTTATCCTTTCTAAGAATGATGATTGAAATTGAACTTCTATTCCATTGAAAGAAAAGCGATATACTTGGACTGATATTGCTTATCCATGCATGGAACAAACAAGATCATTGTGGGAAAGTTGGTCTGTTGAAGTCCAGAGTTGGTTCTCTGCTTCTGTAGGTCTCAGTTTGATTAAAAAGACTGTTGGTTTCATGAATGAAATAACTTACTCAGTAGCTTAATTGAAGGTGAAAGGTGCTGGGCATCTTTAATAAACCCTGTCTTGGTACCCAGAAAATCAGATTAGCTCTCCATTAGGTTTTATGGCAATGATGTTTATTATGACAAAGCAATGAAGATGTCATTGAGCTTTTTGTGGGCACCTGTGGCTCTGAGTTTGATTTGCTCAGTTTGAATGTAAGAGTTCAGGACCAGCTAATTAATTAGAGCATAGATCTCTCTTAATTTGAGACAAGCATTTAAGCTTGAAGGACAATAGAGAAGTGAAAAACTATATGTTAAATAATTATGAATGTACTGTTGGTTGTCATTACTTGAAAATACTTCTCCCAAATGGTGTGGGGATAGAATAGACATTCCTCCTAACATTACTGGAAATGTGCTGAACTCCTCTTCAGTGGATAAATTCTATGCTAGTTTATATTTTTCTGAGGTACAGCTTACATAGTTAGCAAAAAAAAAAGTATGTCTCTGTCATTTGATCTTTTGGGGGCTTAATAGGAATTTCATGCTCTGTCTACACTATGCCTTTCTTTAAATAATCTTTTTAAAAATTCACAAGTAAATTTAAATGAAACTTTGGGAATATGATGGGATTCCTAAGTTTTCTGTTTGTTGATTACATGTAGATCTATCTCTCTGTTCTAGACAGTGCCCTCATACCCTAAGCCTCATTCTTTTGTCATTGCTTAGTAAATAGCTAATTGAAGTATGTCTGAAAGTGATTACAGTCCTTTGTACTTTGAAGTCTGTAATTTTCCACACATTTTTGTTTGACCTGCTTCTTTCTTGAGGAAGAACTGGTCCTTCTGAATATCTCTTCTGATTTGCTCAGTTTAGTGCTTCGTTTTCTGCTCTGCGTGTGTCCAGCAGTCTGTTGTTCATATGTAGTGTCTCTGCCCACCCTTTTGACTTACAGGACAACTCAAAGACAAACTAAATTTAAATAACCCAAACACTCTTGCCTCCTCCACTAGGAGGATAGTCTATACTGGGATGCCAAACACAGGTAGTTTGTGGATTTAAAAATTCTAGAAAGGTATGTTTTAGTGGATATTTAAGAAGTAAAAACTATGTTATTTTCTTCCAGGAGTTAATTTAAATTTCATGTGAATTCTGATTCAGTGCCTGTTGACTTCATAGGTCTCATCTGAAGTCTACTACTGGCTGGGCTCCTGTCAAAACAAGTAGGGAGTGGGGAAGCTTAAAGCTAACATAGATGACACACCTGCTAGTAAAATACCAGAAATACAGTTTGGTTTTCCTCTTCACTATAGTTGAGCAAACATGCTGACCTCAGTGTTTGACTCAGGAGAAGCTGTCATGTTGCTCAGAGAAAAAACTTTTCATGTAAAGATTTCAGATTTCATTTTCTCAGACTTTTGAAAACACATTAATTCATCAAAGCAAAGAGATACAGATAGCTGTGAATATCTTGCTGACCAGGCAGAACAAAAATATTTTGTGGATGCATTCTAAATACTTAAAAAAATACATGAGTCACAGTGGCCTAATGTCACAGATATTCATAGGGCACAAAGCTGCAAAGGTTACAAGGTTTAATATTTCATTTTTCATTTAGTGCAAAATATCTTGTAGGCCAACACACTGCTGCATTTTTGTATGACATTTCAGTAAGCATAAACCAATGTTTTGAATTTGGAGAGTTGAGAATTGTTTATTTTAGAGATACAAAAATATTAAAATGTAATGCTCAAGTTTTAATGCATGCTATGAAAAGTAACTTACTAAGCAGAAGATAATTAGTCTTAATTCATTGAAAAGAACAGTATTTAGCTTAAATAACAGCTATGATCGACTATGTTCAAGTTTTGTTCTTGATTTATTATTTCTTTTTAATCCCATGGTCATGTGCCTAAAGAACTTTTTGTTTGTTTTGCATTTAAAGGAGCAAAGGGTAGAAAGTGTTTGTGGAAAACCTTACAACCAGTGATTGGGAATAAGAGCTGAAGCAGGTGGCCTCTACAGAAACAGACACTTAAAGGAGAATCCAAATTGTTTATGAATGATTAGCATACAAATATGTGCTCCTGACCTCCTTCTGCTGGAGGGGAACAGCTGAACATGAATCATATAAATTAATACCATTTTATGTCACTATGTCAGATAAAATTGATGTAAGGATTACTAGGCCTAGTAAGAGCAAATGGAGAGTTGTGGTCTCTAATAAAGGATAAAGCGATCTACTCCCTACTCCCTATTTTATGATAGCTCCTGTTACATTTGTTTTTATGAAAAATATTTATGCCATGCAGATTGGTTCAGAATTACGTGTTACAGTAGTTCTCTCTTCTCTTCTATTAGGTGTCCAAGGCTGCAGCAGATTTATTGGCATATTGTGATGCACACATTGGAGAAGATCCCCTTATTATTCCTGTGCCTGCATCTGAAAATCCCTTTAGGGAGAAGAAACTCTTTTGTACTATCCTTTGAGTCTGTTTTTAATTAAAAATGTGTCCTGCTAAAATTTGGTATCGGTGTTGCATGCTTTTAGCATTTTTTTCTTCAGATATCTATACTTACCTTATAACTATAATATTTTTCAGAGGTAGTACATTTTCTGCTAAAAAAAAAATTTAGATTAAAAAAAAAACCTAAAAAATTCAAGGTGATCCTTCTCTTTGAGAACAATGTACAAGTTTAATTTCAGTTCTTCATAAATATTCTTTTGGTCCTAATGAAAGTGTTGAGTACAGTATCAAATTGTAGATATCTTTGCCAGTCATAGATTTTTTCTGAGACCTAAATGAGTCATACCAATTCTTGAAGCTATTTTTAACATTCTTGTTTTCCTTGGAAGGTGAATTTAATTCATTTGCCTTTAAAAATTTCTATCGAAAGAGTAGTGTGACCTCTGCCTCAAGTAGCACTATTTAGGAAAAGATCCCAGTAATTTACAATGTGTGGAATGATTAATCTTACACAGTAAGTGGTGTTTTCTGAAGACTGTAAGAAACTTGACTGCAAAAAGAATCTTAGTAAAGCAACATTGTAACTACAAGCAGAATGAAGATGTATAGTTACACATCAGGACTGAATCAATAAAACTGTAGAAAAACATAGCTGCTTGTATCTTATTTTGAATTATAATGATTTAAATTATTTCAGAAAGTAAACTGAACTGTGATATAACTGTTCCTGAGGGTCTTGGTGGAGGGTGTAAAACTGCCCTGAACACCACAGGGAGGGGGATTATATTTTCTGAGCAGCTCTCTACGTGCTTTTGCCCATAAGAGTAAGACTTTATGGGGACAGAGAGTTTAATGGTAAATGAATGTTGTTCTATAATATTCAGTGAGACCACTGTGCCATTGACAGCCACTGTGTTTGTATATTTCTGTAGCTGTAACGTTGTCAGCAAGTAATTTACGGAGGTGCAGGGAGATTTTTTTTGTTTTGACTTTGTTGAAAGTGCAGTGAGAGGAAAAGAATGAGATGTGGAATACGATTGCCTTCTTCAACAAGTCAAATTAAGCTCACTCAAGGCATCTGATGGAAGCAACTATTACATTACAGATGGGGTTTTTTTTATTCTTCTTAAAAAATAAGCGATAGCTCCTCTCTGATCTGATGTATTAGGACAGTTAACTCGTTGCAGGACTTCTTATGTACAGTGTGTCAGTCAGCCCCATACATAAGGTAGGAGACAATTTTGTTGGACAGCTGTACTAATCTGACTTGAGACTGGGAACAGCCACCCCTAATGGATCATGCTTCCTCCCTTCCTCTGCACAGAGTTGTATTCCATAAGCATCTTAAACACCTGCAAGGCAAAGACCAGCTGAGGAACTGAGGGCCTTGGGATATACTTAAATGCTGAATTCAGATGCTAAAAAAAAGGGCAGTTCGGTGAACAAAGTTGTGTGCATTTCCCCCAAAATGCGTGTACCTTGTCCAGCTTATTTTTGGCAGTTTCCATCAATGTCTGTCGTACTGTTTTGTGCAATGAAATACAAGATGACTGCATTGTACAGGTTTTGTTTTCTTTGCCTACCAGGTTGGATAATGTGCCACACCCAAGTGCATTCAGGTACCAGTCTGGTCACACGAGACAGATGGAACCGCTTTGGAACTGTGGTTTTGCTGCTGGCAGAACTCCCCTTGTATCTCACACAGAACCACCTTGCTATATTCTCGTAAAAAACCCCAATATAACAACGTTCCTTTTAACCAATAGGCTTTTGGGATGTCTTTCATTTAAAGATTTGTTTTTTAATTTGGCAGATGAAAGACATCAGTAGTTTAGTAGGCATAGAGCTGCTTCACAGTACCTATGCTGAAGAACATTCAAATGTCTTGAACAGGTCTTATCTTGGGTAGGTTGATCCTTGGTTCCTATTTCAAAGTTTTCAGCTGAAGATTCCCATTCCCAACTTTTAACAGGAATATTTCTTAATTCATGGTGTGTTTTTATTTTGGGGGTAGAGAAATAGGCTTTAGCTAACTGAGTAGCTGTTTTATTGACAGTGAAATAAAATTGCCTTTCTGAAAATATTTGTTAAAAGGGAGCAACAAAATGCTTAATGATGTTCTTAAGGGAATCCTTCCTACAGCGTACATGATCTGGTAACTGCTCTGATCACCATGGCAACATTTTCATTTGTCCTTCCGCATGTATGGCTTTAACTGGAACAGCATGGGAGGGGAATATAGGGCATGCGCCTTTATTCTCAAAGGCTTTGTAGCAACTCGCATTTGTGGCTCATCATTTACATTCCCATCTAAAATAACAAAATTGCCACAGCTTACTACAGTATTGCAAACAGCTTGCTTTCTGTTTCCAATTAGGGTTAGTGTCTGATGTCCTGAGACTGAAACATTTCACAGCGGTTTTGAGCATCACTAGTTACAAGAGCTGCATTTACAAAAATCCGGAATTATTATTCAGAAGAGGAGAATGTCATTCTTATGAACTCCCTTTTTTCTCCAAAATTTTTCTTCAAATAGTTGTGAGTGTGTTGGACTTGTTTGTGGTATCTTTTCTTCATAACTTTCAGTAGGTAAAAAAATTGTATCTATTAAGATGATTTCATGCTTTTAATTTAAAAAATCCTACATGAAGTACCATAAATCGCATATTTATTTTAGCAGATATCTATAATGTGTTTGAAGAGGTTAATATGTAGAAGCATTATTCCTTAGTGGAAAACAGGACAGCTTTCTCTAGTAAAATTGGGCCCTATTTAGCAGTTCCTTGAATGAATACATATTACCGGCAAATCACTAATTTGAAGGGGAAGAGGGCGAGGCACACTTGGAAGATCAGCAGTTCAAATATTATTGTAACAGCTTTGGATCACATACGAATATATTACTTTATTCAAGAACACCATCAAAATACTGACTCTGAAAGAGAATGGCTTTGTCTTGTTTGTTGTTTGGTTTTTTTATTATTATTTTAGTGCCAGCTTGATCCATGAATCAACATTTAAAAGAATATCTTTTCCTTCAATCCCTCCAAACCAGGAAATGTCTTTGTGATTATTATATTTTGTGCTGCTTTGACCTTTGAGGTGGTTTAGATAATCTGCTACTGATACTTGAGTTTCATGCTGAAACATCTTGCCTCACCTCTACACAAAAACATCGGAATGTTTTTGTACCTTCTGCTAAATAATAAATATGTATTATATCATTAAGTATAGCATAATATATAAAAAAAGCTTTCCAAAATGTACATTTGTCTAACAGTAAGGTTTTCTGCAGGCTGAAGCAATGAGTTTCTATTTTCATCAGATGGTCTGATTTGATTCCTACTACCTTCAATGAAAACAAGACCAGGCCTGCTACCACCCTAACGCTGTACTTCTCTCTCGTTTCATTTAATATGCCATTAGGCTTGTTGATGTCTCTTTCAGGACCAGAAGGTAACACATGCTCCCTGTTAACTGTGTGAGTTGTGACTGTCATCTCACCGAAATGAGAATTTCAGAACAGAAGCTGAATTCAAAGAGTTTTTGATGTGTTATTAGCAATCCTTTTTTATATCCCAGTGCTTGCTGCTTTGATGAAACGAGATTTCCTAATGGTGGATTTGTGGTAAATTGTAACATCTCAGCAGCATGTGTGGTGCTGGCTGTTTTGCATTCCTCAGATTAACCTCCTTGGTTTACCTTGAATTTAAGAAGTTACCATTTCAATACTAAAAAACCATTTTTCTACCTCTCTATTATGTACTAAATTCTCCTTCTTTGCTTCCTACACAGTGTATTAAGTTAGGAGCAGGGTGCTTGGCTGGTACTGATAGGCAAGATTTTTAAGCTAGCTTCTAAGAAATTACAGTCAAAGGAGGGGAAAAATAGGGAGGGGCATTTAAGCTATTCTACATTACAGCACAGGTTAAAATAAATATGAGCTCTGCTGTCAGTGACACAGGGTAAACACAGGAGTTGTTGCCAGCTGATTCCTAAGGACATCATAACGAAGCATTTTTGCAGTGACTTACAATAAGATCAGCTCCAGCAGAAGGAAAGAACACTTGAAGAACAACAGTCTGTAAAGGTGAATATTAAAGCCTGGAACTTCATTATGACAGTCATTTATCCAGTTGGATTTCTGATATCAAAGGAGAAACAAAATATGTATTTTGGAGGACCTGATACATAGTGTTTTTCCTATCTCTTCATTATATAGGGATAAAAATCTGTATACATGACTGTCCTAGAAAATGCCACAGTTGTGGCTCTCCTTGGGACTGCATCAGAATCTGGATTTGTTTCTTCAAGAAGACTAAAGAAAACTTGGGGGAGGAGTGGTTCCTAAGAAATACATGTTTCTTGTACTGAAAACTATTACTTAAAGTCATTAGACTGACTTAAATATTAATGTGTGAAAAAATGTGTGAAAAATAGTAGGGAAAATTATGAGAGTAAGTGCTATGTAATATTTTATAGGCATCTCCATATTTAATCTTTAGGGAGACTATTTGGAATAAGTATTGTACATTTGCATCTAATTGAATTCAGCTTTATAGCACTATTAAATTAGGTACAGCCATAAATACCAGAACTGGTATGGGAACAACTTTTCTGTCTGTCAAAGGAAGATGTACGTCTGAGTTTGTCAAGTACATTTACACCACTCACGCTTGTGAACAAACAAAATGAGCAGCCTTACCCTAAAATAGGGTCTTTTCTTTGCCCAATTCCTATTACAAGTAGAAATTGCACAGGCTCGTCTATTACTGCCACCTACTGATAAAGGGATGAACAGCCGACTGAGACAGAAAAAAAATACCAATGCTAACTAGTAAAGACCAAAAGGGGGATTTTAAATTAATATGCGTACTTTTACAAACAGAGAGCCAGGAGTTCTGGTTTTGTGGGCTGCATTGTGCAAAGTGTCACCTGCAGCTGAGGCAGTGCTGGAGTGCACTTCAACTGCATGCTTCAGTTCCAGAGTGCTCGGTTTAAGACAACACAAAAGTCAAATAAGTTTTTTTGGTTAAATTGTTCAGGTGTCTCACTAAAAACCCCTTCAGAAGTTGTGGAAATCTTTGAGGGTATCAGTTGGAGTTGCTGTGTGTTCCCTTCCTGAATTTAATTTTCCAGTTTCACAGGTAACTAACTCAGGGGCCTGTTCCTCACTGTCTCTGACACCAGTTGTGCCCTTCGCTCCCTTGAGCAGGTGAGGCGGCTGCAAATGGCAGTAAGGCTTGGCTCTAGGCCTGGGTGAGCCCCCAGCCCAGTGAGCTGCTAATGATCTCTCCTGTTTGCCTTCCTCTCTGCTGCACTGTTCTTCACACTCAAACTGCTCTCCTGGCTGTTGGGTTTTGTATTTCAGGATTGGGTTTTTTTCCATTTACCATAGTCAGGCCAAAGACTTCCTCATATGCCACAGCACAGTAATAGAGCCAGAACAGAGCTTAGGCTACTGCTTGTGCTTAGAATGGCATTTTATGGACTATACACTAGGCATGGCATAAGGATGTGTTTCAATAGACCTCCGATTCCACAAAATTTATTTGTTGTGTAGCTTCTCACTGTACCATACCCTGTTGTGCCTTTGAGCTTTAGGTGGCGTCCTTGAGCCCTTCATTCTCCCTATGGCATACTCGAAAGAG